AAAAGCCCAGGTCCTGAAGGATTCACTGCTAAATTCTATAAGAAATTTAGAGAAAACCTAATACCACTATTTACTCAAACTCTTTAATGAAATTGAAAGGGAAGCAATACACCCAAATTCATTCCTGGAAGCAAGCATTATCCTGATACCAAAACCAGAGAAGGACCCAACTAAGAAAAAGAACTATAGGCCAATCTCCCCAACGAACATTGATGCAATAATCCTCAGTAAGATTCTGGCAAATGGCATGCAGCAAATCATCAAGAAGATCATATACATGACCGAGTGGGATTCATCACAGGGATACAGGGATGGTTCAACATAAGCCAATCAATAAATGTAATACATCATACCAACAGAGCCAAGGACAAAACCACATGACCATCTCAATAGATGCAGAAAAAGCATTTGACAAAGTCCAGCACACATTCATGATAAAAACCCTACAGAAAATTGGAATAGATGGTTTTTATCTCAAACTGATAAAAGCCATCTGTGACAAACCAAGCCTAATACCATACTACATGGACAAAAACTGAAAGCTTTCTAAAATCAGGAACAAAATCGGAGATACAGCTTAGTGATACAGTGCCTGCCTGGCAAGCATGAGGTCCTAAGTTCAATTCCCAGTAGGAAAAATAAAATAAAATCAGGCATAAAACAAGGATGCCCACTGTCTCCACTCTTACTGAACACAGTCCTGGAAACTTTAGCGAGAGCAATTACAGAAGAAAAAGAAATAAAAGGAATAATAACAGAAAAGGAAAAAGTTAAATTATTATTATCTGCAGATGACATGATACTCTACATAAAAGACCCCAAAAACTCAACTGAAAAACTGCTAGATTTAATAAACAAATTCAGCAGCAGAGATGGATACAAAGTCAACATTCAAAAATCAATAGCCTTCCTCTACATGAATAATAAACACACTGAGAGAGAAATTAGGGAAACAATACCTTTCACAATAGCATCCAAAAACATGAAATACCTAGGAATCAACCTAATAAAGCACGTAAAAGACTTCTACATTGAAAACTACAGTACTCTGAAAAGGGAGACTGAAGAGGATATCAGAAAATGGAAAGTTATCCCTTGCTCTTGAGTAGGAAGAACCAATATAGTGAAAATGGTCATACTTACAAACCGTTACACACATTTAATGCAATTCTGATCAAAATTCCAATAGCATATCTCACAGAATTAGAAAAAATAATCCTAAAATTCATTTGAAACCAGAAGAGACCAGAATAGCAAAGGCAATTCTGGGCAACAAAGGCAAGGCAAAGGGCATCACAGTACCTGACTTGAAATTATACTTTAAAGCTACTGTGATTTAAAAAAAAAAAAAAACGAACAACAACAAAAAAAACACCCCAGCATGATACTGGCAAAAAAAAACAGACCTGAGGATCAACAGAAGAGATTATAAGATGCAGAAATAACTCCTGACATACTCAGCCTCCTTATCTTTGACAAAGGGGCCAAACACCTAAGAAAGACAGCCTCTTTAATAAATAGTGCTAGGAAAACTAGCTCCGCACACGCCGAAGATTAAAATTGGATCCATATCTTTTACCATACACTAACCTAAATTTGAAATGGACCAAAGATCTAAATATTAAAACAGAAACATTAAATCTGCTTGAATACAGAGTAGGTAAAACTCTTGAAGACATTGGTATAGGCAAATACTTTATGACTAAAACCCCGATTGCACAGGAACTATCACAAAGAATCAACAACTGGGATCTCATCTTATTAAAAAGCTTTTGCACAGCAAGAGAAACCACCAACAGAGTAAAGAGACAA